GAGAGGGGGAGGAGTGCGAAGGGGGGCGGAGGGGTCTGGAGGAGGAGAAAGGGGGGACTGGAGTGGGGGAGAGGTGGAGGTGGGAGGAGAGCGGCGGAGAGGGGGTGCGGGGGAGGGCAGAGGGCGGAAGGTTGGAGAGGAGTGCGGAGGAGTCTGGAGGAGCGGGGCGGCACAGGGAGGGCTGGAGTGGAGTGGGGGGCGGGTGGAGGAGTGGAGGAGGATGACAACCAGGGCGGATGATTCCGGAGGAGTGCGGAGTAGGGGGGAGGAACGCGGGGGCGGATTGCAGGAGAAAGAGAATGAGTGGAGAGAAGGGTGGAGGAAATGAAGGCGGGGTCGTCCGAAGGCGGAGGATGGGGTGAGGAGTGTAGAGAAGCGCGGAGGAGTGAGGAGTGATGGGGATGCTGGTGATGATGCTGATGAAAATCCGCCACCGTGCCTCTGGGCACGGAGTGGGCGTGTCCTCAGGTCCTTTGCCTAACCCTCTCACCCGCAATCCTCACTCCTGAGGAATCTTGCAGGGGCCCGGACCCAAATTGCCAAATCTCCTGGGGCTTCTCGCGTGCCCGCTGGGCCCCGTCGCGTCTTCCCACGTGACTTTCTCGGGCCCAAGAGGGCCCCAAGACGGGTCAAGAGGGCCCCACGAGGCCCCCAAGACGGTCCAAGAAGGCCCCGGGTCGCCGAACGATCGCTCCAAGATGCCCACGACGGCCCCAAGACGGCCCAAGAGCCCTCCAAGACGGCCCAAGAGGCCTCGAAGAGGCCTCCCAAGAAGGCCCTAAGAGGCCTATGTCACTAATTTCTTCAGGAAAGCGTGCGTTTCAGCATTTCAGACTTTTCGGCCTTCAAGACGGTCCAAGAGGCCCCCAAGACCGCCCCAAGACGGCCCAAGGTGTTCCCAAGTGGTCCCCAATATGGCCCAAGTGGCGCCCAAGACGGCCCAAGAAGGCCCCAAGACGCCCCAAGAGGCTCCCAGGAGGCCCCAACAGGCCCCCAAGAGGCCCCAAGAGACCCAAGAGAGGCCCCAAGAGGCCCCAAAACGGCCCCCAAGAGGCATTGAATCCAAGAGGCCCGCGAAAAGCCTCCCAAGAGATCCCAGCGAACATCCACAAAGCCTCATACACACAACCCAGGCACGGTGGCAGGATGTGCCGAAGGCAACTAGACATTGCGGATGTTGATGTTAATGGTTGTCCTGGAGCTGATGTTGATGATGTGGGCGGTGATCATGCCGAAGTTTATTTCTGATGTTGTTGACAGTGATGATGTGCTACTCGTGATGCTGATGATGTCGACGTTCATGCCGTTGGTGATGATGTTGTGGCGGGGTTCGAATCTATGATGCGCTAAGGGTCAGGATGACGTCAGTTCACAAAACAACCCCCCTGAACTTACAACGGTGGTGGCTATGGTGTTGTTGGCGTTGATGCTGATGATGGAAGTGTTTGCGATGGTGTTGTTGTTCGGAAACCGTTGATGACGATGATGATGATGATGATGATGATGATGATGATGATGATGATGATGATGGTGATGGTGATGGTGATGGTGATGGTGATGATGATGACGATGATGATGGTGATGGTGATGGTGATGGTGATGATGATGATGATGGTGGTGATGATGATGCTGATGATGATGATGATGATGATGATGGGTGTGCAGGTAGCAGTGTGCTGCCCCCCCGCCGCAGGCCTCTGATTGCGCGGAACTGGTACAACTGGATAGAACTGGTCGTAGAACTGGTCATAGAACTGGTCCATTAAGAATTAGGTCCAGCATAGAACTGGTCGAACTTCTGTTCTATGCCAGCCCCTATTTCTAGCGGGCCAGTTCTATGACCAATTCTAAAACCAGTTCTACCCAGTTGTACCAGTTCCGCGCAAGCAGAGGCCTGCGGCGGCGGGCAACGCCCTGTTACCTGCACTCCCATATTACCTGCACACCCACATGTGCATCCACATCGACGAAACAACGAAACTCTTCTTACCCCGACAGCGCCCGGACAAAAAGTGTCCACGCCGACGGCGCGAAGATAATCAGGCATGATGGCAACGACAATTGCAATGCACAGGTGGCTTGCCCTCCTCACCTCCAAGCCCAAAGTTGAAGTGTCCACATTTTGTCCCCCGCGCGTTGCCTCGCACCCAACCCCGTCAACTTTGGGTTGGGGGGGCGGGGGCTATGGATATTTGTTCGACGCAGTTCGATGTCGTATCATATTGACGCGATGGGTGTGGACACATTTTGTCCACCCACCGAAGCATCCCTAAAAGGGCCCCGTGCCAACCCAGAGACGGCCCAACATGGTCCAAGACAGTTCTTACAAAGCCTCCTAGAGGCCCCAGGTAAGCTCCTGAGAGGCCTCACTCCAAAGGAGCCCCTAGATCGCCTCAACATTCGGCAAGAAGGCCTCAGGAACCCAAAGCTGGTCCCAGAGCGGCACGACAGCGGAGCCCTATGGGAGACATGCACCAAGATGACGGGGGCCCAACAGGCCTCAAGATGACCGCAAAGTGGCCCAATGGTTCAAAATTGCCCCCAGAAACCTTTCAGAGGCCCAAGCATGCCGCCAGAAGGCTCCCAACGACCCCCAGAAATACCCCAGGATGATCCCGCAACCCACGAAGGGGTTTTTCAATTGATTTTTACCTAACAGCTTTTGCTGATAGGTTTCTAGTAGGGTCAAAAGAAAGCATCATGACTCCTCAGGGGGGTCTGGGCGGGTGCCGGGGAAGAGAGCCGGGAATCGTTTTTCGCCAACAGTCACACACTTCGTGCTCTTCGACCTCCCAGAACTCCATTCCCGGGACACATTCTGGAGAACCGGGAACAGAGCCGGGCTCGCTTTTCGCCAACAGTCACACACTTCGTGCTCTTCGACCTCCCAGAACTCCATTCCCGGGCCACATTTTGGATGCCCGGAGCCAACTGTAGGCCACTTCGTGCTCTTCGAGTTCCCAGAACTCCATTCCCGGGCCACATTTTGGATGCCCGGAGCCAACTGTAGGCCACTTCGTGGTCTTCGAGTTCCCAGAACTCCATTCCTGGGCATGATTTTGAATGCCCGGAGCCAACTGTAGGCCACTTCGTGTTCTTCGAGTTCCCAGAACTCCATTCCCGGGCCACATTTTGAATGCTGAGGCAGGCTGAGGCTGAGGCTGATGCAGGCTGAGGCTGAGGCAGGCTGAGGCTGAGGCTGAGGCTGAAGGCAGGCTGAGGCTGAGGCAGGCTGAGGCTGAGGCAGGCTGAGGCTGAGGCTGAGGCTGAGCTGAGGCAGGCTGAGGCTGAGGCTGATGCAGGCTGAGGCTGAGGCAGCCTGAGGCTGAGCCGAGGCTGAAGGCAGACTGAGGCTGAGGCTGAAGCAGGCTGAGGCTGAGGCTGAGGCAGGCTGAGGCTGAGGCAGGCTGAGGCTGAGGCTGAGGCAGGCTGAGGCTGAGGCTGTGACTGTGACTGTCGTTGCCACTGCGACTGTCATCGCGAATGCGACTACGACTGCGAGAACAGCAGACTTCTACAACTGGATTCTCATCTGAATCTTAAGGGGAATGCTTCCAAATATGCTCCTACACATCGCTGTTAGGTTGCTTTGCCGGGATAATTCGAGCTTTCGGGCTTGGATGGTCAGACTTGGGTGGGGGCGTGCTCCGTTGAGTGTTGCGCTCAATCTATCAACCGACTGCGTCTCCCCCACGCGCGCTTCACATGGCAGATAGGGGAAACTACCACCACCCAACAACTTCTCAATGCCCACTGCACGGACGATACAGCATGGACAAGCGGCATGCGCGAAGCGGTTGAATCCATTCCAAAAAAACCTCAACCGAGAACCGCATGTCGAAACGGAGCCGCCTTGCCATACTGCCCGAGGATGTCTCAAAAGAGAACTCCCTCTGGAAACGAAGCCACCCTCCACCCGTGCAACTGTGATAAACTGTTCAGACAAAGATACGAAGAAACCCGAAAGACTAAGGCTCGCGGCGCTGCCGCGAAGACCACACTTTGAAAACTGCCTGTTTCCGTCCGATTAACAGCTTGGAGTTCTGAAGGCACATGAGCGCGACGCTGAGGCGATAATGGCGTTTTAAAGACCACCTGTCCACCATCCGCGTAACTTTTCAGAATCATGTGCGGAAACGAGAACTACATGTGGGGCACCATCTGCCCCCATTCAAGTAGTTATTGATACTACCAATGCCAACGTCATATGTGCTGAAGAAGACTCAGGGGTCAGGAAAAAATAGGGGGAACGCGAGGAAGAGGATGAGAAGGCGGAGGATAATCGTGTAAGGAGGAAGAGAAACTCCGAGTAGACGCGGTAAAAACGCGAGGAGGACGACCGGTGGGGGCATTGAGCAAGAGCAAGAGCAAGCAGAGGAACGAGGACGAGGAGGAAAGAGGAACATGAAGAGGTACAGGGGAAGGAGGAAACGGAGGAAGCGGAGCGACAACAGTGGGAAAAGGAGGAAGGACACACAACGGTTGGCAACCCTGCGCCATCCAATCTAAGGCCATCACCCCGAAGCCCGGCACAGACGTAAGGGTGACGATGATGATAATGATGTTGATGCTGATGATGGTGATGATGATGATGCTGATGATGTTGATGATGCTGCTCATGATTACGATGATGATTATGTTTATGATGCGGGCGATGCTGACGATTATGTTGACGATACCGACGATGATGACGATGACGATGATGGCAAGGATGATAATGATGATGGCGCCGATGATAATGATGATGATGCGGATGCTGACGATTAGGATGATGATGCTGCTGATGATGATGGTGATAGGGATGCCAGTACTGACGATTATGATGATGATGGTGATGCTGCTGATGATACTGATTATGTAAATGCTGCTGCTGCTGATGATGATGATGCTGCTGATGCTGATGATGGTGATGGTAATGGTGCTGCTGCTGCTGCTGATGATGATGTGGTGATGATGAGGATGATGATGGTGGTAATGATAAGGAAGAAGAAAAGGAGAGGTTGGCAACGGAGACCCCTCAGCTCCTCGACCGCTGCGGTGCCCAGGGCCCCCCCTGCTTTGTGGGGGCGACCCCTCGCTGCCCGACTGCCGAGCCGCGCGGCGCGCCGCGGGCGGGGCGCCGCGCAGACCCAAAAGCAAATGTGCTGACGGCGGTGAGCCCCACCGCTGAGAGGACCGAGGCGAGGTCGAGCTCACGCCTCCTGCCTCGGCGGCATTCGGGCACCGGCCGCGGCCTCTGTGCGGCGGCGACCCGCGGGCCTCTGCAGGGAGCGCGGATCAGGGGGACCCTTAGGGGGGGAGGGGCTCAGGGGGGGGGGAGGGGAAACGCCGCCACGGAGTCGGCGATACACCGCCCACACATCGGCGGCAAGCGGCTGCACGCAAGAGCGACCCTGGGAAAGGTGACCTGCGTGACCTTGGGTGCGCGGCCTAAAAGGGGCCGCGGTGGGGACAAATCCAAGCGCACAAGCGAATGCTGGGGAGCACTGGGGGGGACCCTTTTGGGCCCGCACCAAAGGCCACTCTGGCGAAGGGCCCCTCTGACGTGTGACCGAGATGAGCTCCCGCTGGCGAATCCGCATGCTTCAGGGCGGGGTGGGCTGTCGGGCGCCCGTCGCCGATCGAGGATCGGGCCGATTTGGGGCCGATGCGTTCCCCCCCCGAGCCCTCTCCCTCCCTCGCGTTGCCCATGGGCGGACGCGACGGGCGGCCTGCGGAGCGCGCAGGCCCTCCTCCTCCTCCTCCTCCTCCTCCTCCTGCTGCTCCTCCTCCTCCTCCTGCTGCTCCTCCCCCTCCTCCTCCTCCTCCTCCTCCTCCTCCTCCTCCTCCTCCTCCTCCTCCTTGGCCTCCCTCTCCCCCTCGTGCTCCTGCTCCTCCTCCTCCTCCTCCTCCTCCTCCTCGCGGCCGCGGCCCGCGCGGGGCGCGCCTCCTCAACAGAGGTGCGGCGGCCCCACGGGCGTGATGCCCCGACGGCTCAGCTCCGCGGCGCCCCGCATGCCTGCGACCGGCTCGGCCAGCTCCGCCGCGCCGCGGCACCGCTCCTTGGCGGCGCGCACATCGGGGTAGGGGGAAGGAGGAGGAGGAGGAGGGAGGAGGAGGAGGAGGAGGAGGGAGGAGGAGGAGGGAGGAGGAGGAGAGGAAGAGGAGGAGGAGGAGGAGGAGAGGAGGAGGAGGAGGAGGAGGAGGAGGAGGAGGAGGAGGAGGAGGAGGATGGAGGAAGCCTTCTTAGAAGGAGGCCGCTTCTCAAAAGGCGCTGGCCTTACACATCTATCGAGGAGGCCCGCGCCTTCCAAGAAGCAGGTGCGCTTCTAAGCAGCCTTCCCCCCTCCCCCTACCCCCCTTCTGCGCGTGGCTGAGCTCCCCCGGCGCGGCGCGCCCGCGGCGCTCGGCCTCGAGCTCCGCGCGGAGTGCCTCCAGCGTGCGGGCCCGGCTCGCCAGCTCGCTGTGCATCCGCGAGCTCTCCCTCGCCAGGCCCTCGTGCTCCCGCCGCAAGGCCGCGACCTCCTCGCGCAACCCGTGCTGCGGCTCCCGGCCGCCAGCCAGCGTGCCGTGGGCGCCGTCCACCACGAATCTTGGCACGTAGCGGATGTTTTGGATGATGGTCGTCTCCGGCACCTCGACAATCCGCACCACCTCCTCCACGACGTCCACGAAGGTGGGCGTCTCCGTGACGCACTGGACGACTACCCGCTTGTCGCACGTCCTCTTGACCGGGACCTCCCGGATCACAGACTTTGGCACGAACACCTCGGCGGGCACCTCGGCAGTCTCCTCCTGCGTCGGCATGTGTTGCACGCGGGGCACGTGCACCAATCGCTCGCGGAACTCCAGGACGGGCGTCTCCAGTGTGCGCTCCACGGGCTGCAGGCTCATCTGCATCACCTGCTCCACTGGTTCAAGCATTTTCGTCTCCTTTGCGAGCTCGATCTTCTCCACCTCCTTGATGTGGAGACGCGGCACCTCCTTCGCCACTTCGACATGCTGCTCCAGCACCTTCAGCTCCTCTTTGAATTCGATTCGGGGGACGTCGATGACCTGTGTCGCCCCCTTAATCTCGACGTCGGGAACGTACCTGGAGAACCAGAAAGCTACAGACGCATGACCTCTTGGGCGTCCGCAGAGAGCTTCTCCGTCGGGGTCCGGCGCCGCTGGAAAAATCGTCCACGAGCGATCGAACATGGATCTCTATGCGCGCGCGGGGGGAGGGGGAGGGGGAGGAGGAGGAGGAGGGGAGGAGGGAGGAGGAGGAGAGGAGAGGAGGAGGAGGAGGAGGAGGAGGAGGAGGAAGAATCTTCCTCCGAAGCCCGGGCGGCGAGTGCGTGGAACACCAGGAATTCGGGGGCTCCGCTGCCGATTCTGTTCATGGGTCGGCCCCTGGGTGAAGGGGCCCAGGGACACACAAGTAAATACGCACAATGCTCCTCCTCCTCCTCCTCCTCCTCCTCCTCCTCCTCCTCCTCATCCTCCCTTCTCCATCCTTTCTGGGTGTTCGTCTTCCCCCCTGCTTCCCACATCTCTCCCATACTTTCCTGGGGATCGACACCTCCTTGTGTCTGCGTTTTTTTGTTGTCCTTCCTCGCTGGGCCGCTCCTTGGCGGGTCTCTTCGGGTCGCGCACGGCCGTGGCGCCGCAGAGAAAGCCTTCCGAAAGAGCGCCCCTCCGGGCCCTCCGCAGCGACGGCGTCGACCGACACCGCCAGAGACGACACGCCCTTCTCTCGACCTCCCCTGGGCGGCGATCATGAGCGAGCGCGTTCCACTACAGTCGAGACGCTGTCATAAGGAACCCTAAATCGGGAACGAGGCCCCTTTTTCCCAATCGTTCAACTTCGATTTCCCATGGAAAACAGCAGGGACACCCAAGACAAACTGTAAAACAGTTCAGGAACACTAAGCCCCTCCCCAACGAAAAGGGGTCCTTCTTCAGCGGCCGGACTGCAAACGCAAAGTAACTACTCGCAAGTGGCCTGGATCCGCCGCCGGGGATCTACGACAAATTGCATCGAAGCAGACATGTGCTTGTTTCCTGACTTTTGCGGGTAGGCACGTTGCGAGTAGTTGAACGCGCTGGTTGAGATTAACGGGCGACGATCAAAAACGGGTCCTACGCGACATGACGTAGCGACCTCGCGCGGCGGCTTGCGCGGGCCACCCGCGCGGCACGCCACACTTAAAGCGAGGGCGCTTGCACGCGACCTTGCGCGCAAATGTCGGCGCAGACGACCCCGTTTTTTTTTCCGCCGCTCCAATGGGGGGGGGGGCGGCGCAGCGAGGGCTGCCCAGAGTGGGGCCGGTCAGGGCCCCTGAAGGGGCGCCCCCTCGGGCCCAGAGGGGAGGCCTCTCGGGCCCGAGACGGGCCCCCTTCCCCTCCCATCAGAAGAGACCTCCTGGATGGGGTCGGAGTAGACGGGGTCGGAGGATCGCGCCGCATCGCCGATGCATCGGCGATGCATCGGCGATGCCTCAGCGATGCGCCGGCGATGCAGCGTCGACGTCGGCGATGCGTCGGCCACGTCGACATGAAGCAAGTCGGGCTGCACGTCGAGCCGCATCGGCGATGCATCGGCGATGCGCCGCGATCCTCCGACCCCATCTGCTCCGACCCCATCCAGGAGGCCCAGTCGGACTCGATTGGACAGGACACGCGGAGAGGACACGAGACCCTTCCGAGGGCCACGTTGCCACAGGAAGGTAGGAAGTATGGGTCGCGAGACACAGGACACAAGGGTACCGTTTGATTCGGCAGGGTCGATCTACTAATCTGGGCCGACTGTAGAATCTATTGCTCCCCCAGAAGGCGAGGAGGAGGAGGAGGAGGGGAAGGAGGAGGAGGAGGAGGAGGAGGAGGAGGAGGAGGAGGAGGAGGAGGAGGAGGAGGAGGAGGAGGAGGAGGAGGTGGCTCTCGAAGGCGCGGCTCGTCCCAGAGCGCCCCGCTGTGCACCTTTGGGTGCCCCGTGGTGCCGAAGCGTCTTGTGGAACTGCACCTCGGGCACCCCCACGTCGAGGCCTCGCTCGACCCCGACGGCGGGCACCTCCTCCACCACGTCGCGGTAGGGGACCCTGGGCCGGCGGACCTCTGCGGGAGAATCTCTCTCTCTCTCTCTTTCTCTATTTTCTTCTCTCTCTCTCTCTCTCTCCTTTATTTCATATATCTCTCTCTATTCCTCTCTCTCTTTCTCTCTCCCCCTCTTTTTTTGTTTTTCTCCCCACTCTCTCTCTCTTTCTGTTGTTCTCTCTCTCTCTCTCTCTTTCCCTCTCCCTCTCCCTCTGTCTCTGCCTCTGTCTCTGCCTCTGCCTCTGTCTCTGTCTCTCTCTCTCTCTCTCTCTTTGTCTCCCTCTCTCTCGCTCTCCCCCCCCCCTCAGACCCCCGACGTCATGAGATGTTCATCTCGTCGAACCCTAAAGGTATCGACCCATTCCACAGGACGGGCTTTTCATCCTGAATCGTGTTTTGACGGCCCTGAGGCCCGGTAAGGGCACCCAGAGGCCGAAAACTACGAAACACATATAACCGCCTTGTTTTTCACTACGCAAGGAGGCCTGGGCCTCGTGTCGACAGGATGGTCCCCCGGACCCACCATGGGGCGTGTCGATAGCTGCCTCCCCTCCTCCGCCAACGACACGCGCCGCCATATGGCTCCCCGCCGTGCCCCCTCAGTGCTCCTGCCCGCCCCCCCGCCCACGAGAGGCCGCAAGACGACTGGCCCCGAGCCCAACCTCGTGCGGAAGGACGTCTGCGTCGCAGCTTTTGCGGTTTGAAAGGCCGCTCGTTCGACGAGGAGGTCGACTGCAGAATTGATCCACCCTTGGATTGACATGTTCGTCGAATCTACGAAAACGAATAGACGGGTCCGTAGCTCTATACGAACATTATACATTTGTTTTGTAGACTCGAGGGGAACAATTTGGGGGTGTATCATTTCTGCAGTCGATCTACTACTCGAAGCCTCGGCGGTTCGGGGGGCCAATCGTGCCTCTGCCGCCGACAACGGGGTGGCCCA